TGTAGTACAATGATACAGGAAGTTACTAGAATGCCCCTGATTAGTGATGGGACACCCAGACAACTTAAAACATTAAACAGGATTAGGCCCATTAACAAAGGCCCAGTACAGGACAACTTAAACTTAAGTATAGGCTAATAAGAACTCTTATCAGCCGAATACTCATACATACAAAGACTTCAATCCAACACCTTTTAAGTTTTTTTTTTAATTTTTGCTTTCTCTTGTTATTGTTGTTTATTTCTTCTCTTTTGATTGATGAAAGGTAGGTTGCAATTTTGGAGTCTATGGATAGGAAATTTCAGCATGTATAGCTGAAACTAAGACCAACTCGAAAGGAAGTTTCTTTTCCTTCTTTTCGCTCTTTAATTTACTTAATATTGAGGACAATGTTAAATTTAAGTTTGGGGGGGAGAGAAGATTGCAATTTTTTTGAAAATTTTTGTGAACCCAAGAGCATGGTATGATTGCACCAAAGTTTTATTTTCAAAATATGCTTTAGCTTAAGTTTGTGATTGCTGAATTTTTCTTGATGACTAAAAGCCTATGATAAATTCTTGAGTGAAATCGAATATGACTTAGAAATGGAAGATAAATGCTAATCCTGAGGATTGATTGATTCTCGTGTTAACTCTATTGTATCATGAAAGTTGAAATTCTTGAACACATTATGTCATGATCTTGTGAATTGTGTGTAACTTGGTGAATGATTATGTGAGCTATATGGAACAATATGATCATTATGTGATATTCTAGAACTTGTTTGATTAGCCTTTGAGGCGAAATCCTAGACAACATATTACTTTGGAGATGATTTAGGCCATCTTTGGATCATTTGAGCATTTTCAAGCCAACCTTGATATATTTCAATCCTTAGTTACCCTTTTGAGCCTTTTTCAAAAGAATGGCATATGCAAAGCATATGATTAGCCACCATTCGAATTCTTTTCTTTAACACTCATTGTACTTGACCTGTCAAACCCGAAAAACCATGACTTACCCTTCAAGAGAGTTTAACTTTGCACAATGATGTTGATGAATGAAAGAAAGGGAGATGAAGGAAGATGAAAAAAAAAAGTGTTGAGAAAGAAAGAAAAGAGGCTTCAAAAATATATCATGAGCCTAAAATTATGTGCTGAAAAGTTTATTCACTACCCAAGAAGATCAAAAGAAATAAGTTTGGGGGTTGTAATACATGTGAAAAATAAAGAATATGGGGATATCTGGAGAGTACATTTACATGTGCATACCCTTCTATGCTCTCTTGCTTTGTAATTCCTTATCCTTTCTTTGTTAGCCCCTACCTAGGCCTCACACTACAAGCTTAATAAAGACCTATTGATCTAAAGTTTTATGATTGTCTACATTAGTGGAGAAGGACTATAAAGAGCAAGCCTATGAAATATCCAAAAATTTCAAAGATTCATTGGTTTGCATAATTTGAGCTAAGAAGCATGCAGGACACTCGAAAATTGGCAAAACACACACACACACACACACACTTCAATTTTCATGATGAGATTTTGTTAGCATAATATTCATGATAATTCTTGGATGGTATTTTGAATGCTTTCTAAGTTATATACCTTATACAATCTTTGAGGCATATACTTTGGAAAATCAAGATAAGCAAAGCATGATCAATTCATGAGCTTAAGYATGATWTTATTCATATTTTSATCRRGGACGATCAAAAGCTAAGTTTGGGGGTATTTGATAAGCCTATATTTGTACATATTTTCATACCTCTAACTTGATGATTTTGGTAATAMTRTTTTTRGAATTAKYATGGTATTGCACTAATTATGATGAAATTGTCTTGCAAGATGATTTGGAGCTTAATTGTGCAATTTTAAGGAGGAGTTCGATTTAATTGATCAAGATAATCATAGAGGAAGGACCATGCAGCAATGATGCTCCATGATGTAGCCATGAAGGAGAGAATCCATTGAAATCGGATTTTGATATGTATGCACAAAAATCGGGAAATTTCCTGTTTTGATATAGTTCCCGTATTTTGGCCATAACTTTCTGCCTACAACTCGGATTGAGGTGATTCAAATGGCTAATTATTAGTAAAGGAATTAACAGATAAGAGGTTCTTATGCAATTGTTGAACATGAAGGACAGAACTAAGAGAAAGGTTATTAGTGAGTTCAACTTCACCCAATCGCAAGATTGGAGTTTGAGATCCATTAACAACTGAAATTTTACCTTTCCCTAAGAAGTAAAATAGGAAGGCATAGCAGTCATGTGATCACTGGCTCCAAAATCAACATTCCAAGAGCTAAGGGATAAAGTGTTATAGGCAAGTACAATACTTGATTTTGCAAAAGCACTGGAAGGAGTACCAGAACCAACAGATGTTGACAACCCATTCTTTTTTAGATGAATCAAAATATTTCTCAGCTTATCCATCACATCAGATACGAGTAGATAGATGTCTAAGGAGCAGAAGTCGGAAATCGCAACTAGCAGTAGACACATGTGCACTACACTACACTTCTTTCCAGTTTTAAATTTCTCAAGCTTCAAATGGGGATTCAACTTCCAGCACCAATCTTTACTATGTTTTGGCTTCTTGCAATATTCATAAACTATCTCTTCAGCCTTCTCATTCACCACATGTTTACCCATACCTATCTTAGGATTAGCAGACACTAAGACAGAAGTGTTATCTTATAGAGAACTGCATCATGCTAGCCCTTCTACTCTCCTCACCTTGCATTAGAGAATATGACATTGGGAAGAATGGAACATCAGCACTAAGAATATTCTGCCTAGAAATCAAATTGTGCATTTAACCCAACAAGAAAGTCAAAGACCCTATTCTTTTCAATGTATTTTAAGTATTGCTCAACACCCTTCCATTTCAAGGCCTCCAAAGATGTACATGGCTATCATCTTCTCCCCCTGATGCATATTACGAGCCTCTCTTTTCAGTTGATAGATTCTAGTTGTGTTCTTAGCCTACAAATAAGTAGTTGTCACTCTATCCAAAACGTCGTTGGCAATAGAAAGAAACATATAATTATGAGCTATATGTGGCTGCATAGAGCACACAAGCTAAGACATCACCATTCTCCCATTTTCCATAGTTAGGCTGTTAGGGTCTTCAAGCTTTGGCTTGCTTCTCTACCAGTGAGAAACCCAAGATTGACTCTTCCTCCAATGGAAACCTTGGTAGATTGAGACCACTCCAGAAACTTGGTCCTGCCCAGTTTGACAATAGTTACCTGACCATTGGAACCATCATTGCCTCCTAGGGAAGACACTCTTTAGGAGAACCCATAGGTCACAAAAAAAAAAAAACTTCCAGAAACCTTCTCACTAGCCCAACAACACACAAACACCAACTGACAACCCACAATCACTTGGGTTCACACTCAGATTAGCAGCAAAAAGAGGAGAAAGCAAGGATTGGCAGTAAAATAGGTAGAGAAAGCAATCTTCAAAATTCTCCAGGGCTCAAAAAATTACAAGACCACTTCCCATAGTTCCAAAAATATAAAATAAATTAAAACTAGTTTGTCACATTGACTAGAAACCTCAACCAATTGGACAAGCCATGGATTTCAAATCTGGAATTTCCAACAATTTTGATGTAGAAAATCCCGAAAAATACCCAAATCTCCAACAGTTAAGTCCTGTATACCAAAATCCTTCTAAAAAAAGGGTGCACCAACCTGTACAGAGTTCACATAGGGTTTCCACCAACCATACGGAAGCTTTTCTTGATCCCGAAGTTGCTCTAATACCAAGTTGCAAGGGAAAAAATGCAGTTCAAGAGAGAAGAAGATGAAAGAGAAGGAAGAAGAGTGTTTCGAATGAATGGAGGTGAGATTCAAGTCTTCTCTCACACCCTAATATATTTTCTTTTATATTAACGAGTATAAAAATATCCTTCCACATGCAATAAGCAAGAAATAAACTAAAATATATTGTCTCTGAATCCTTTCACATATTAGATCAAATCACATGCTTACATAATAAAGCAATAATGGCAAGCTCTGCATCTGACCAAATTTGTGTTCATACAATGTCTCAGGAACTTTCACCATTACCAAAATTGTTATTTGTATATGAGACTACCATTGTAAAATCAATACAATCAGGTTTGAAGATTATAACTTTAAGGTTCTGTAAAAGCAAATCTGTTATTAGACTCTTTTGAAGAACAAGACACCTGAGTATGTTGAGGAAGGAAACTTTTGGAATCACCACATGTCAAAAATAAAATTCAAAAGACGTATTCTTTCTGAGTAAAAGTGTACCTTGTGCAGGGGAGTCATACTTAAGGGCTTGAGCTGCATCAGACACTCAATTTATAGTTCCAAGGCTTTCTTAACTAGCTCTATATGTACAATTTTGACTTCTAATACAATTTATATCACCAGTGAAAGAAGTCTATAGTGCCTTTAACAATCGATGCATTGGTGAACAAGATAAATGTTAGCCTCCTGTGATTCATCAATGGATTCCACCAGTCTATATGAAAAGGAAAAAAAGGAGGAAATAAAAAAAGAGATTCCGCAATGTAGTTTCTAGACAGGAAGAACAAAATAATAACCCATTCTTGTCCTACCCACAGATTTGCTTAAATATGGAAAATGTTCAGTTATTAGAGTTTTCAAAAATGACAAGAGGATAAACTTATCCAAGGAGAAGTTTGAATTGTTTACAACGAAACAGGGACATTAGTGTTATTTTAGATATCATCATTTTTTTATCAGTAACAAAAGTGTATCAATGATGACAATTTAGGTTATAAATAATTGCAATATGTATCAGAATTTTCTGTTTCACTAAAGTAAGTTGCTTATTTATTCAATCAATGTACTGAAATTCCACCATTTGAAGAAACATCTAGGGAAAAAACATTCAAGGAGTGTGAATAAGATCTTAGTTCCTACACTCCCCGATAAAGAATAAATAGAGCTCATGAATAAAGATATGATATAAACACAACTCAGTAAAGAAAAAAATGGAAATTTCCATTCAACATGGATGCATGACAAAAGAGAAAAAGAAAACAATGTTGAACATTAATAGTTAATTGCATGAGAATAGAAGGAAAACCTTGAATACTCTCGTTTTCAATATTTCCAAGTGAACCCGTGATACACCATTTACAGTATGGCAACAGACAATTGATAAGTTTGCCATTCGGATATGCTGCAAAAGTAAATAAAAAATATATATCAGACTATTTTCAAACATTTATGTAATTAATTTCAAACAAAGCATAGAAGAAAAAAGAAAAAAAAAAAGCCAAATCCTTAATAACATAACATCAAAATGCTTGAACAAGTTTTAGAGACTAGTTTGTGTAAGCAAATTCATCATTCAAGTATGCTTGCTAACCTGTAAACGAGCATAAAAGATAATTGAATAAAATACTGTCAAGAATGGATACAAGGACAGTTTGCACATGTTTATATGTGGTTGATAACAACCAGAAGTTCGCTATTTGCACATGATCATATACACAGGAAAGTTTCTCTGAAAAGGATGAGAAGGTAAGCAGCATAGTACAAACTATCCAAATATTGTAATATTCAATCAATATTTCCCAAGTTCAAAGGGCAAAGATGAAATCTAGGCGGATTAGAAAAATGCAAGTTTGCCTTCGTATCTATGATATTCTCCCTATATTACTCCATGCCAGTTTAAAGGTCTCCCTGTTTCAAAATACCAGTGGAACATTGCAAATATAATGAACATTTTCCCATTTCTTACAGGTGTAAACTTTAAAGAGAATCATATGATACATAATCTCCTAAATAATTCCCAAAGCATCATCGAAAGTCCATCGTTATTACATGTAAAGAGAATCCTGCCTTTCTTATTTGATTGTTAGAACCCTGCATTTCTTTATGCCAGCTTTGAATCATTTAATCAGTATTAAACTATTAACCACAGGCCTTTATTTTTTGAGAAAAGGATACAAAGAGTTTGGAATGAACTTAGTGGGAAGGACCCATGACTTTGATTTGTTTAACAAAGAACCTCAAAAGACAATTTAACTGAAAGAGGGGAAGGAGGGTTCTAAGAACCACACACCAGTTCTGATCCCCATGATAAATTTACCTAAAATTTGGAATTTAATAAAAGATGTTGCATCCCAGATCTTGAACTCCCAAAAGCCCCTATAAAAGCTAGAACCCCAAGAGAGATGGAACCTGTTATTTTTGTTATCCCTGTTAAATCTAGTTATGTTATCATAAAGCATTATAGTACAATATCAAAGAGCAGAGAGAATTTTTCAAAATTCAAATACCTTAACAGCACCTTCCTCAACAATTGACATCCGAGAGAGTCGACTGTAATCAAGACCTATCAGCCTTTTCAACTCTTCCATGAACATAAAGTTTATGTCATATATGACCTGAAAAATAGACATTGTAAAATGTCACTGAAAAAATAAGTATTAGATAGTGAGATAAACAGATGAAACTAAGAACAGAATATTTGGGAAGATCAATGTCTTTTAACATGCTTATGGCAAGAACAACATTTTATAAGGGTACAAGGAAAGGAGTAAATTTATTAGTTTCAATTGCCTACCAATTGTCTGCTTATCGTTGAAACATTATTGCCAAAAATAGACATGCACAGGAAATCAATGAAGTTATAGAAATCATCTAAAACGCACTTGTAAATGTCGTGGAAGAAGACTGCCTATTAGGTCAACTGGGATTTTCTCTAGCCCTTCAGGTTGTGCTGTGTGAGTTGTAAAAGAAAAAAGTTTGCATACAATGCCCCATGCTTTTTCCCAACTCAAACGTTCTTCGTCAACAAGAACCCTCATGACCTCAGCTATCGCAAGTGATGGAAGAGTATCATTAAGCTGTAGAGCCACCTAGATGAGACAATACATAAACAGATTTTAGCAAATAAATGGAATTGAAAACCTTCAACAAGAAAAAAAATGGTAGGAAATAACTCCATACACTCTTTGACCCAACACTAGGCCAACATGAGAGAGATACATGCTCTTTTTGAAAACCCATATGATAAATTAATTTTGTAAGTTTTGGATATATGCTATGTTTTTGGAAATCCTTATGGATTTTAACAAACTAATTGTTCAAATAAAATAAACAGTTTCTTGATCGTATGGATCTTCAAAATATTGAATTTGGGCACCTGGATTATTTTAACAATGAATTTTGTTAATTTGGAATATATGCCATATATATTTTAAACTTGAGCCTCAAGAGTTCATGAGATAATATGTTTGTAGCCCTAAAAATATGCTGCAATTCTTTCAAACCCCAAAAACCTTCCTTTGCTTTCCCATTATTTTCTCTACCTAACTATTCTTCTTCTTATTATTATTAGCCTCCCTGAGTTATTCCCTAATTTTGCATGATTTCACAATTCCTTTGGCATTTCCTACATCAGAAAAGCACAATTCTTTCGTCTCATAATCCTACACTATCCAATTCACAATTCTACTGTGATACAATGTGTAGCCAAGCTCTCACACTCTATCAATAACACCTGCAAACTCTGACAGCTAGATCCATCCTAATAGAACCTGCCCCACTAAGCAGCCACAGCCACAGACCCAGAACCCACAGCATACTCTGATACTCACACTCAGTCAGAGAATATCAAACTTTGCCCAAGGCCCAAGCCCATCTATCAAGTTTGTATGCACAAGGAAGACACATAGGCAAGGATCAAAAGTAAAGAAGAACAAAACTCAAAAAAAGGTGCCACTATGACAGAGACAGGTGCACCCTCCAAACAAAAATCTGTTACAAAGGAAGTTGCCTAGCTGAGCACACCTTCATTGAAGGAGATATCAAGAAAGGTAATAGTGAGGTAAATCAGCTTGCCAACTAGCCTCCTGTACCTTTAAGGGTCAGGTCACTTAATAGCTCCCCCTGACTATCAATCATCTTCACATTAGGATCCATAGGTGTCTCAACTAGTCTGGACCTGAGAACTGTTCGGCTGCATCTCTCTCATCTGTTCTGGTCTGAAACTCAACTGAAGTGATTTTAGAAATTTGTTGATGATTGGTTGAATCTTTCTAAAGAGGTCATCTATTCCTTTCTCTTGTTTTCTTCTGTCTTGGACTGGAAAACCAGGATCCTCTGGGACTGAACAGGAACAATTTTTTAAACCCTTTTTTTCTGGTTCTTGGTGCTGATACCAAGAACAGATTAAGGTTTGCCCTTGACCAAATGATATAAGGGAAGTTTAATCCCCTTTTTTGTGGGTCGGATGATCCAGAAACCTGTCCACTTGTGAAATTATTTGTAGGTCATGAGTGACCTGGTTTGGCTGACTGGTACAGCAGCAGTGTACTGATGTTTGTGGCTTATATTATTAGCCTTGGAGAGTCTGTTACACCTGTGAGAGTGTTCAGGTGGCTGGTACATCAGCAGAATACTAATGTTTGTGGCTTAATATTAACCTTGGAGGTCTATTTGACTTGTGAAAGTGTGTTACAACAGTGCTGTAATAGTGTTCTGTCAGAACCCCAAGAGTGAGGGCTGTGTAGTCCTTTTGTGTGTGTGGACTGAAGTGGAGGACTGTTGTTTTCTTAGAAGGGTCACTCATGAATACTAAAGATTCTGCAACCTCAGGAACCACCACAAATCAGGGTGGAATTAGCAGTGGTCATGACTCCATGAATTTCCCAATGACTATTAATTACCCCTTTGGATGGTAGGAATTACATGGCATGGTCTAAGGAGATGTGGCTGTATATCACAGCCAGGGGCAAGGCAGGATATATTAACGGGAAAATAAAGGAACCTAGAGCTGGTACTGCTGAATATGATAAGTGGGGCCATGAGAACTGCATGATTATGTCCTGACTCTTGACATTTATGTTACCATCTGTCAAGCAGAATTTTATGTGGGCTGATAAAGCAAAAGAAACATAGGAATAAGCGAAGGCAACATACTCAAAGCAAAGGCACTATGCTAGAATTTATCAGCTACAAGCAGAATCTTCAACATGTAAGAAAGGAGAAAGGAGCTTATCAGCCTATTATTCTGCCCTCACTTCAATTTGGAAAGAATTAGACTACTATCAAAGTATTGAATGGGAAAGTGAAAAAGATGCCAAGGCCTATAAACAACTAGTCTCACATCAAAGGGTGTTTGCTTTCCTTCTAGGTTTGAATCCCATGTATGAACCTATTCGTGTTCAGATTTTGGCAACAAAGATCTTCTGTCTGTCCAATAGGTATATGCACTTGTCCAGTCTGAAGAGAATAGGAAGTCTGCTATGAATCCTCCCGAGGGGGAGACTATTGCTCTGGCTGTAAGGGGCAACACTAGGGCAACAAGAAAGGGGGGAAATCAGAAAAAGATAGATGATAAAGACAAATTGTGTACTCACTATCAAAAATCTAGGCGTACCCATGAGGCCTGTTGGGAAATGAATGGGAAACCAAAGTGGACACAGGAACTGAGCAAGAAGCCATATCAGAAGAAGTTCACCTCAACAAACTTAGCATCTCATGAGCATTAGAGTTCTTCTCAGGATTGCCCCCTTGTTTTGACCCTAAGGAAGATATTATCAATTCCTTCAGTGACCATTTCAATACGGTAGGGCCCTCCGCAATGTTGATTCTAGACCCACACCTTCTACTTCATTTGCTTTCTCTTTAGGTAATTCAGCCTTTACTTTCCATGTGTCTATTGATAACTCAGAATCCCCATGGATTATTGATTCTGGTGCATCCAACCATATGATTCATAAGTCAACCTTGTTCCAAACATATAATGTCTTCTCTCTTGCAAAGATAAAGTGAGGTTAGTTGATGGATACTTCTCCTTCATTGCTGGTCGAGGATCTATATCTTTGCCTTTTGGCCTTTCCTAATCTAATGTTCTACATGTTCCAAAGTTACCCATTAACTTGTTGTCCATTAATAGTATTACTCATGCCTTTAATTGCTCGGTAATCTGTCTTCCACATTCTTGTGTTTTTTCAGGATTTGGGCTCTGGGAGGATGATTGGTAGAGGGAACATGGTGAATGGTCCCTATGTGTTGGATAACAAAGTTGGTCTTACATTTTCAGAGTCTTTGAGTCCGTTGAGTAAGAGTCAAGTTATTTTTGTTGCACTACCGTTTGGGCCATATGTCTTCTGAGTCTTTGAAATATTTGTTTCCAGATTTGTTTTAGTCTATCTATTAGTGAATTTCAATGTCAAGTGTGTCAACTGAGTAAACATTATAGAACCTCATTTCCTTTATGTAATAAAAGATTAGAATTTCCTTTTCATATTGTGTATTTAGATGTTTGAGACCTGTTAATATTCCAACTGAGAATGGTTACAAATATTTCATCTCTGTTATTGATGACTTCTCCCGACACACTTGGGTTTATCCTATGCATTCACAAAAGGAAGTTCCTAAACCTGTAAAAGATTTTTAGCGTATGGTCTACACCTAATTCCAATTAGAAATCCAAATTTTTTAATCAGATAATGCCAAGGAGTACTTCTATGGGGACCTCACAGATTTCTTTGCATCCTACGGCTCCCATCATAGGAGCTCATGTGCCAGAACCCTTCAATAAAATGCGGTTGCAGAGAGGAAAAATCGGCATCTCCTAGAAGTTGCTCAGGGATTGATGTTACTGATGAATGTCAAAAAAAGATTATGGGTGGATGTTGTTCTGACCGATGCCTATGTCATCAATAGGACACCATCTCAGGTATTGGAATATAGGTCTCCTCATCATCTCCTCTTCCCCAAAGCACCAATGTTTCCTATACCTATGTGTGTCTTTGGATGTAAGCTTTTTGTTCATAATCTCTCACTTACTCATGGTAAACTTGATCCAAAAGCTATTGTGTGCATTTTTCTTAGTTATCCTCTTTCTCAGAAAGGCTATCATTACTTTGACCTTGTGTCCAAAAAATATTTTGTCTCTATGGATGTTTCTTTCTTTGAATATGTTCCCTATTTTCCTGTTTCTCCTCATGGGGAGAATACAATTGAGGAGAAACAAAGTCAGACACAAGTTTTATTGCCTTCTCTTCCTGATCCTCCTCCATTCCGTGTCTTTCGGAGACAATGCTGCAAAAATCAAGGCCAACAGAGTTCAATTGCCATAGAGCCACCAGAAACTATGCCTACCAATGCCATCAGAATCTTCCTCCATCTCACCTAGGTACAATTGTTCTAGCTGATGTTCCTAAACTTATTGATATTGCACTTCAAGTTGTGATCTAAATCTCCCTATTGCAAAAAGGAAGAGTGTTAGATCATGCACCACACCACCCCATGTCTAATTTCTTGTCCTATGAGAATATCTCATCTTCTTTTCGTGCCTTTTTATCTGCCATCGATAGTGCTCCACTTCCCAAGAGTGTTATAGAGGCCTTACTTGTTCCAAAGTGGACATATACAATGAAGGAAGAGATCAATGCTCTTCACAAGAATGGCACATGGGAGTTGGTAGATCTTCCTAAGGGAAAGGAGCTTGTGGGCTGAAAATGGGTGTTCTTTGTAAAATATAAGGCAAACGGTACTGTGGAAAGGTACAAGGCTCAGCTAATTGCAAAAGCCTTCAAACATGTGTATGGGGTTGATTATGCTAAGACCTTTGCTCTTGTTGCAAAAATTAACTCTATTCGGGTTCTTCTATCTTTAGCTGCAAATCTTGACTGGGAACTTCATAACTTGACATAAAAAATTCCTTCCTAAATGGTGATTTGGAAGAGGAAGTTTACATAATTCAATCTCTTGGTTTTTGTGCTAAGGGCAATGAATTGAAAATATACAAATTGAAGAAATCTTTGTATGGTCTGAAGCAATCTCCAAGAACTTAGTTTAGCAAGTTTCACCAAACAGTACAACAGATGGGTTTTAAGCAGTGTTAAACTGATCGCACACTCTTTGTAAAGAGGGAATGAGAAAAAAACAATAGCCTTGGTTGTCTATGTAGATGATATTGTTATCACTGGAGATTGGATCTCAGAGATTCAGAGATTAAAGAAATTTTTGGCTACACAATTTGAAGTAAAGGATCTAGGGCCTTTGCACTACTTCCTTGGAATTGAAGTTGCTCGCTCTCCCAAAGGAAGCACACCTTAGATCTCCTAAAGGATACATGAAAGCTAGGAGATAAACCTGCTGACACACCTATGGAACTCAATCATAAACTCGGGGATTACAGTGGTGAGCTCTTGAAAGGGAGAGAAAAATTTTTGAAATTCGCCCCTTTATTCCGCAAGTTTTGGGCGTTCATACGATGGATCTCTCATTCCTTCAAAAACACCTTCCCCTTGGTTATTAAACTCCACCTTTGGTTAAGATGTTAATAAAAAAACACCTTTTTATCACTGTGTTAAGAGAAACCGCATCCAAAAATTGATAACAGCCAACATAGGAGGATTAATTAGGTTCGGCAACTACCCAAAAATACTGAACAGCTCTACTAGATCTCCAGAGAACAAAAAAAACTCAGGCTGAACGAAAACAGGTCCAACTACTGCCCCAGAATTAATAACAGTATTGAATTTTAGGATTTTCTCTTAAAACCCTAAAAAACTCAAAAGAGAGGAGATTTCCCAGCTGCACCTCTCAAAATAAACAAAGCTAATCTTTTTTTAGATCGCTCTCAAAGAAAACAACTTACTTCATGAAAAAACTCTGGCTGCCACCTTCTAACTGATGTCTGAACCCTAATCTTGAGGATTTGAACCTTCTTCTGATTCTTCCGATCACTGGATCTCTCCAAGGCTCTACAATCTCTTTAGTAGCAGCCACACACTGCCAGCAACCTCCAAGAATCAGCCGATTCCCTTTTTTCTACTAAAAACTTCCAAACCTAGGAAGCTCTCATGTAGTTGGCCTGATTAGACTAGCATAAGAACTTCTAGGTTGGCTCTAATACCAAGTAGTTGAATAAGACTACAATCTGTCCTAGATTTAATGAGAAATTAACAAAGATTGAAAAAAGAGGATAAGAGAAGAGAAGAAGAGAAGAGGAGAAGAAGAATTCAAAGGTGAGAATTCAGAAAAGAGAGAGTGACATGCAACAGCCGCCCCACTCTTACAATTTATATTAATATTCGAATGGAAGTAAAAGGGCTGAATTACCCTTACTGCTTACATGGCAAAATAATAAAAGAAAACTAATAACAATAAGCTGAAATAAACTACCAACTAACATAACTAACTACTAACTACAGTCATACGAACACAGTGGGGACCACATTAGTGTTCTCTACATTTGACAAAAGGGTTGACCCTATCATAATGATCACCCACTCATGTAGTATTTGATCCATGTATTTGATCCTAACAAGATCTCATTGGTTGGCATATCAAAAGTAGCCTAGTCCAAAACCTAGTGCAGTATCATTATCAAGTCTAGGATTAAGTGCAACTCTCCAGTCTTGCCCATCTATCTCCAAGGTCCAAGGCATAACTAGAAATTGGTCTGTGTTCAGTATTTCTTACAAACACCCACCGAATGTACTTAGGGTCTAAACCTAGTAACTGAGACAAGTTGCTCCACCATTTCAGCAATACATCAGTATCAACCTTGTCAAGATAAATTCCCCAAGTCCAATGGTTGAGAACTTTCTAAACTAACATAAGTCTCATAAATATCCAATTTAAGGGGTAATTCATATAAATACACCAATCACAAAACATGAAACAATAATGAACTGATTTTATTAATTCATAAATCTCAATACACATCAATTTGATTGGAGCTAAGAGCATACATTGTCTAACAAGAAGGCTACAAAACAATTAAGAGATTGAGTCAACTTACCTACAGATAAAAAACTACATAAAACACCAAATTAAATGGAGCACTGAAGTCTGAACTAAGAGACACATTTACCAGTACCCGTAATAGAGGAGGAAGTTCCATCAACTAAGGTCACAATTTAAGAAGTGGAAGGAGGGGATAAAGACATAAGAAAGTCTGAATTTCTAGTCATATGATCTAAAACTCTAGAATCAATTATCTAGGATGTGGTTTTTGAACTAGAAGCAAGAAAAGTGATACCCGAATGAGCAAGAGTAATAGTAGTACTGGAAGAGGAGGATTGGTGAAGTCTTTCATACTCCTCATGGGTGATGGAAACCAACTCGTTATCCTTACTAACTCCTGTAGTAGGTGATTTATTAGTAGGAACATTGTTTTAAGTGTCATCCTCTACCAAGACATGATTGGCTCAAGAGGAGGGAGGGCCATGCAAGTCATAGAAGAAGTTAATTGTATGGTTCACGACCACAATGGGAACACTATCAAATGTGGCCATGTCCGCTACTGTGTTTACCACCATCTCTTTCTTCTCTGCCCACTTCACGACCACAGAATATATCAGAAAGTGAAGGGTTACTATTCCCCAAAATTTGAGCTCTTATTGGCTCAAATTAAGATCCCAATCCTAATAGAAATCTAGCAACATTCAATCATTCCCTTTGTTCTTGTTGCACCTTCAGATCTGTAGAAAGGGGATGATAAACATTAAGTTCATTTCTCCAACTTTTCAAGACAGCATAGTATTCCTCCACACTCTTATCTCCCTGTTGAAGAGTAAAGTAATCCTGGTATTGATGAATTTTTTTTACATTGTATTGTCCTAAATACAGTTGCCTAGCATGTTCCAAGATTTCCTTTGCAACATCTAGAAACATAAGATTAACACTTATATAGTTTTCCATGCTATTCCACAACAAAGTCATAATTTGGGCATTTTCTTGCACCTATTCATTATACATTTCAGACCCACTCTTTGGTTGTTCTTCCCTGATATATTTCATTTTGCCCCATCCAATTAAGGAAACTTCCACAGATTCGGCCCATGGTACATAGTTCATGTCATTGAGCTTTACAATGATCAACTAGGTATTCATTAAATCTATTTGCACTACCACAGCCAATTTAGAGCTACTAGTGAAAGAAGCCATGGAGAAAGAACACGACCAACTAGGTAAATAAAATTGCAATCACCCACAAAAAGAGCACCAACCTACTGCTCTAGATTTAAACACTGGAACAAAACAGGAACCACAAAATCACTTATTTGGAGCACCAACTACTTCGCACAGTTGTAGTAGGGCTGTCACCATGCTAAACATTGTCACAAACCTGCCACACCATTATCATCTCTTCTTAGGGCTATGGCAAAGAGGGAACTTAGGAAACCACCCAAAACGGCATAACAGTCACCACTAGAGGTGTTAAAGCCTACTTGTCTAAAGGACGACCAGTCCTTTTAGTGCCTTTGTCCTTTCTGTAGTGAATCAAGAGTGCCCTCTATTCTTAGGGCACAGAAAAGGGCGTGAACAGTAACCGCGAACTCTACATCTCTGATACCATATGCGAACCTAAAAGAGGGGAGAAGATTAGTAATGCTATGTTTGGTTTGAAGGAAAAAGTAGGAAAGGTAGGGAAACCTTTACAAACCTTGTATAGCTTTCCCTGCCTTTTCCTTCAAACCAAACATAGCCTAAGAGAAATTCCAAGAGAGAAGATTTGAACAGAATTTTTTTCACTCTTGTTGACCAAATCTATTAGACTTCTAATAAAAACAAAAGTTACAGAAATGCCCTCCATAAGTTACATACACCAAATAGATTAGAAATAAAGGAAAAGATAGAAATACCCCTGCAGCTAGACTTCACCATTTACACTACAAACTGAAGAGTTTAAAGAATATCTCCAAGAGTTTTCTACAGGGGGGTGTAGTATAGTCAAGGTTCGATGCTTAGTAACTTTTTTTCAGTTTTTCTTTTTCAAAATTGCTTCAGGGGTCGATTTTTAGGCATGTCTACCCCATGAAACCACTCAAAATCTGAAACAACCCCTATTTGGGGATTCAGAGACCTGCCAGTATGATATGATACACTCGACACAAGGCGTATAGTGTCAAAATTTTGAACCTTGATTATAGTGATAAGGAAAGAGAAGAATTATCATAGATATCATTACAGGCACCCACTAGTTTAAACTCCCCTTAGACAATGAGATTTGAAAGTGAAACCAAGAGCTGTCCAATGGATGGCAGGAGCACACTTAATTTCATCACTGAGCTATTGGCTTGCCAACTTGGGCTTAAGGTACAACAAATGGAGACTTTTCCAGTGCAAGTAGCTAATTGAAACCAAATTATATGCAAGTATGCAACAACCTATATAGGGACATAGAACTAAAGGTTCATGGTAATGGATTCCATGTGATCTTGACCCTTTGAAATTCCAGGGAGTTGATACTGAATATCAGGAGGGAGATGGGGTTTACTTGAAGTTGCAACCTTATAGGAAGTCTTCCTTAACAAAGAGAGCTTGGCAAAAGTTCTCTCCTAAATACTTTTGGGCTTTCTGCATCAAGGAGAGGATAGGTGCAGTTGCTTACTAAGCAGCCACAGCCACCTATCAGGTTTGTATATACAAGGTAAGACACACAGGCCAAGTTAGTTAAGTTAACATGCATGTAACACGTGTCTACTGATGTAAGAACCATATAACCATATAAAAAGCAGTTTGAATAAGATTTGGGCAGTCAGGACCCCCCCCCCCTTCCCACCATGTTCTCAGTAGGAGGTAAGGGTTCCCTCAAAGAAACCCGAGGTGAGAAGAATCCCATCACATCCATTACCACCCAATCTCTTCTTTTTCCCCATCTTTTCAATCAATAACAAGACGTCTAACCAATAGATTGAGGCCCAAAGCCTTCCATTTGTAAAAGTAGTGCTGCAGTGTCAAGAATATCTTTTAGAACTTGAGGTGTATAATATTTGGTATGCTTATCTTGCAACATACAAATTGTAAGCATTGGCATAACCTTATCAGGAAAATTGTCAAAGTCATTGTGTGTTTCTTTGAATCTACGGATGATGTCTTGCAATGATGCTGAGACAAAGAAATACTGTTGTTTCAACCGCAGCTCCTTCCCCTGATAAATAAAACAAAAACTAAAGATCAACAGTTTAAAATGGAAAATAAATACCACAATAATGATCACGAAAGAAAAGAAAAACAATAGTTGTATAAGAAATAAAATTATGCAGGAAACTTTTTCAACTTTTCTACTTTTCTGCTCTAAGTATTTGCTTCAAAGTCTTAGAGATATCCTACCTTATAAATTTCTACTACTTTAATTTAGGAAAGAGAAGTGACTGCATCAAGTAGAATAAGAGGAATCTCTAAGTTGATCAAACAAAATTTCCATAAAGAATAAACAGATAAATATAAAGAGGGCAGCAGGAAACTAAAACATGATCTTGTAATTGATAGCTGCTAAAGAATTATACAATAATTTGCAGGAATGAAGGCTGTAAAGCACATCTGTAAAGAAAAGCGAGCGAATGCTCTTTTTTTAAATTTTTTTCCTGGACAAATGTGATCCAGCCACTAAATTTTTATTGCCCTATTGGGGAACAGCCTATTTTTTATAAACAATCAGGAGAACCCCTAATCAGAATTATTTAGAAAGATAAACCGTGTGTTTGGAACCGCGGGCGTTTTTTCAATACTCGCAAAAGGTGGCCTTGATTTATGTGCATGCCTACCATTGGGGGAAGCTTCATTTTAATGCTTCCCCCAACGGTGGGCGTTTATTCACTGTTATGCTGATGTGGTGCCTAATTGTCAATAAACGGTTTCATTATTACTTTTTTCAGTTTTGCAAACAAATCAAGTACAAAAGTTTAATGAATAAACAGAAGCTATACCAAACACATACAAAAGTTTCCCAGTATATAAACTTATATCATTATAATAGTAGTATCTTTTGTATTTTATTTGGGACATGCCTAGTTTATGAAAATGGGGATTCTTGAAGACAGAATCTATGTTTGTTAAGCTACCAAACTTACAAAAATGGGGATTCTTGAAGACAGAAGGTTTAAAAAATCTCAAATTCTTTAAAGAACAATGAAATTTATACACAAGCACATATGCAAAACTTCAATAATCTTTTTTCTGACCTTCATAGAGCCTTCACACAGAACTATCTATTTTATTTAATTTAGAAAAATCGCTTGTGTCATTAACCCAGGGACATCTATCTTAAAGTTTCTTATGCCATATTAAACAAAGTACCATCATACCTGATAAGAACGATCATCAGGGTATAAGACACTACTTATCGTCTCAGCCCTCTGTCTGTTAACAACAGCGTTGATATAGTCTCCAGTATTATAGGATTCCTGTCAATGAATTTAATGATGACACATTATGCAAAGAAAAGGCTTAAAATTAAAGAAAAAAAAAGTTAAACCATCTAATAACTACCTATAGCATGCAACAGCAAGTTGAATTCTCCGACTTTATTACAGAAATAGGGCTGTATAAAGTCTGAGACCCGTTCCAAAATCCAACCTATAAATGGAACAGATTCAGATTTTGAACATTGCATCCATTTATTAATTGAATTGGCTGCAGACCTAACCCCATTTGAACTGATTAAGGTTCAAATCTAATTAAACGTATATGCTTATGTAAATTTATGATTTAATTATTTCATATATTTATAAAATTATTTTATATGAATAAGTTAAAGAGTGATTACTTTATTTACATTGTTTTTATTTTTTATTTTTTATTTTTTTTTATCAATAACACTTTCATTAAATCATCAATAGAAGATTTACAAGAGGAAGACAAACACACTTATCTTCCAAGAGCAACAAAGGACCTCRAGAAAAGGAAAAAGAAAAGGAAAAAACACTAAAGTTACAGCTTAACCCAAAACAGTGAATCCCTTTTGCCCCTTGTTGAGCTAAACCATCAGCTAGGGAATT